TTGCAAGGCACAGTATACACAGCCATATTGCCATGTATGTAACACATTTAAACAGGCTCCTCATTCCGTATTTGCTTGGTGTATTGCATTACGGACTGAAACTTAGAATGACTCTGGTAGATACCAAAAAACATCAAACAACTTAATATGCAGGCACTCTAAGATAGCCCTCCGAGCCGGCATTCTAAGTCTCCCCCCGGCATTTTGGAAAATTGACAGGCATCATATGAAGGCCATAGGTGAACTTCAGACATACGAGATGCGGGAATTGGGAAAAGTGGCTGAGTTCTGTGGATTTGTGTGACAACGTTCAGACGTTCAGAGTGTTTGTATATATAACTTAAATATATACATATTATAGACAGAGGGAGAGAGAGAGAGAGAGGGAGAGAGAGTACACAGAAACAGACTCCTTATTCCATTTTTGCTATTGCGGACTGAAACATAGAATGCCTCCGGTAGAGATATAGGGAGGCATTCTAAAATACCCCCTTCGAACACTATTTGGCGGCATTCTAAAATAGGACCCCTTTTCGTTTGGAAAACCGGCTGGCATTCTATGTTTCAGTCCGTCGGTATACTGTAATTACCCTCCAGACCCCTGGATCTCCAGGGCATTGCCCGGCTGAAGCGCGCGAACATCACCTGCGCCACCTTGAAAGACATCCCCCAGCACCGGCGTATGGCCTTCCTGGACTCTTTGGGCCTTGAGGCGCGTGAGAGTAGGCATGTTTGAGACTTCTCTCAATCTTGACCATCTTGACCCCCCCCCAACCGATGCCAATGTGAGGTGAGATCCTGTGAAACTGGTTGGTTTCGACTTCGCAGTTTTGCACGATGCGGTTTCGACATTGTTCGAGCGGGCTTCGACCAGGAGCCTTTGGAGTTTAACGAGGGGGATGTGGGCATTGCAGGTGGCATCCAGGCCGCTCTCCATCAAGGGGAAGTAAACCTCCCACGGTGACACGGAGAAAGAGAGAGAGAGAGAGAGAGAGCGAGATGTGCTGGGCTGTAGCACTCTTCTTTGGCTGCTTGATTGTTGTTGTTTTTTCCCAAGGGGTGCTGTACGAGACAAGAGAAACCATGGCCTGCAGAAGAAACTCCTCCTTCTTCCTCCTCCCTCCCCCCGCCTCCTCCTCCGCCTCCTCCTCCCTCCTCTCCTCCTCCCTCCTCCCTCAGTCTGCTTGTAGAAGACAAAAGAACATGTCAAAGGAATGCAAAATTATCACCAATTTCACATTTCCTTTAGACACGTGGACATGGCTGGGTGTCGTTGACCCTGGGAGGTCTTGGAACTTGCCAGTGAGAGAGTGGTCACAGAGGACAAGGGAAGAGTTTTGAGTGCCGGTCCCCACCGTGTTGGAACGCATGGACGGAAGACATATATATATATATATATAAACTTGGGCATCACAGCAAGGCCAACATAGTGGGCGTGAGAATCCATCATGGACACTGGAGGTTGCATGAACCATTGAGTGTGCCCTCTTCGAGGACACCATCAAGCGCTTCGGTGGACCAAGTGCTCCATCGGCACCCTGGCCCAAAGAACACATCCCGGAGGTTCGGCTAGAGCGGCGGCTCGAGCGAAAGGCGTTCTTGTGGGGGGGGTGGGTTGAATTTTCAAGGACGCCTCCTGTTTTCTTCTTGTCTACTTAATTGCTCCCCCCCTCATCCTTTGATGAACCACATCTGTATTTGCAGCGTCCGGACTGAGGGGTGGATGGTAAGAGCTGTAGCCCACGTTCTGCAGGAGGAAGTGGACAAGCTGGCCTCCTTGGAAAAGAAACTGATGAAGGTCATCAAGAGTAAGGGCAAGGCTGGAGAGACGAGTTTGCAGGATTCGAAGATGAGACAAGCTCAGAACATCTTAGACCATGGAAGAATGATAGTCAATTCATCTGCCCTTCGCAAGGATTTCGATTTTGATCGATCGTCGAGAACCTGTTGCGTAGATCGTGGGATGTGAGGCACATCGTCCTAGCCGCAACCACGGCAGCGGCGGCAGCATGAGTGAAGAGAATGGGCGCTTGACTACATCCAGTGTGCCGACCACTATTGGCCCCAGCATGTTTGAAGAGGAGTGAGACAATCCCTCTTCTGAACGGAGGTCCTTATATAATTCATCTAATTCACAGCCATGGCGCAGGCCATGGGCCGGGAAGAACAAAAATCCGGTCGAAAGCAAGGCCTTCTATTGGTTGGAGCTCAAGATTCAAGATTTGGTTTCCAGGCTGGTTGGTTCGGTTTAAGGCCTCAAGACTTGTAGCAAAAGCACTAGGTAGCATCGTGGACCTCTTCTTTCTGGGTTGGGAGCGTTTTAAGCCCCCAAGACTGCCCCTTTTCTTGCATTTGCCGTATCCTCTGAACAGCTTACAAAAGAAAAGAACACTGTTAGTATAAATGAGTGTGTCCCATGTGCACCAACCCCACAAGAAGGTAGCAAGGCCTGCTGTAGTGTCCTTCATGAGTACCTTGCTTTCGTTTGCAATTGTTTCTTTGTTTTCGCAGGTCAGGTTCTGAGTATTCAGGATGCCTGTCATGATATCCAAATCATGTGACATCATGTGATTGTGTAATTACCAATTGCCCAGGTCATCCCCGAATGGGGTTCCTGCTTGCAATCTTTTTCTGCAGCATGCTGTTTGTTCCAGACGGTGCAAGTGGTTCATTGGGTTTTGCGTTGCCAGTCATTGAGTGCTGACAGACGCTAGACAGAGGACTCATACCTCAACAGCAAGGCTTTGTCTCTTACAACTCACAGGCGGGCACCCCAAGATGCAACAAACGCAACCGTCTCGAAGAATTTGGTGGGGGCGCACATGTTGGGTCTCGCAAGCCCGCGAGACGATGTGGGGGCGAGTTTGGAAGTCGGGAGGCGTTGACAGGCCATGCGTGGTCTATAGAGTGAAACCAGGACATCCACATTTACTGTATATGAATGCTTCCGAAACTCTACACTCAACAGTGCTGCCTGTCTTTGTGCTTATATACTCTCTTTTTGGTGTCGGTCCTGAAGCTAGTGATCAGAGATGGTCCGATGCCCGTTCTCGAATTTGACAAGAGCTCGCATGGAAGCCCAGGCTGAGAAAAGAGCGAATAACATCGAGTTTTCGCAAATCCATGAATGACTCAAGCGGGATGTGATGGTGTCAGTGAACCAACATGAACCAACCAGACCACGGCCATGGGTGACAAGTGAAGCTTCCGAGGGTCGAAGTCGAAGTTCGACCGAGATTCCCACTGGTGGTTTGACCAAAACACCACCAGTCGACATACCATGATTCATGCTCTTCTTAGAGGACTTACTCCGCTGCAGCAGGTTTTTTCCTGTTTTTTGCCCACCAACATGTCCGGAATTGTTTGCACTGAAGGTGAAGGGACTTTGAAACCCAGCACCTCGAATTGACTTAGGCTGCTTCCAGAAGTGAGCTTGGCTTTCGTGCGCATCGAGCTGCAGCTTCTGGCTGCAACCTGGACCAAATGGGAATGGACATGAATGGAGGCTTGGTGGGTGATTCTTACCCTGTGGCTGGGTTGGCATTCCAGAAGCCTTAAACGGTGAACTGCATAGAGGATTCACGATTTGGCGTGTATCATGCCAACCCGCTGCGGCCTGCCCCTCTACATTCTACAAAGATCTACAACGGCCGAAACCCAGTTGGGCGGAGCCTAAGGCCAAGCTAACCCTGCTTGAAGAGCCGGGGGGCCTAGCAAGACAGTTTGGTTTGTTTCAGAATGGCCTTCCGAAACCGAATCGCTTGGAAAGCAGATGAGTGCACACTGGTCGGAGATCCCTTTGTCTATAGGTGTTCAACGTATCCCGGCACATCTGCACAGGTGGGACACCTGCAACTGTCCGCCCAATGCAGCCGAGAATGGCCCGCCAATCTCAACCTCCAGCCTCAAATGATTCGCCCTCCCACCCACGAGCGCGAAAGATGGTTCCTTCGTAAATTGTAGCTGGTCTTGGGGGGCCCATTCTGCATCCTACACCGCAGTCCAAATGAAGGCCAAGTGTAAAACAAACCAGCGTGATGTGTCTAAGGGTCACCCACAATCTCCCAAACTCTTTAGCGGACTCCAAGAAACTGCCAGACACCAAGCTTTCAGCTTTTGTTGGAGCATGCAGTTCACACCCGGGTTGGGTGGCACGAACATGGAACAAGGCTCAAGAGATCTCAATAACAAGCGCACCAAAGAAGTTTGAGGTATCACAAACTAAGACACTGCTTTGGCATCCAATCGGGAAACGCAAAGATCAAAATGCAACTGAAAGCCTTCCAACCCAAGCGCGAATGTTGAAAGTCAGTGGGTATTCTTTGCCAATTGGTGGCATAAAGCCATAGGCATCATGCCCGGAAAGCTGCTGTATCCTCAAACATCCATCTTAAACCCCGCACCCTTCGAACCACGGCTTTAGGCTCCCGTGGTTCGTGGCGGGTGGTGCCAGGGCCGAGGCGGGACCTCGGGTGAGGACGTGACGTTGGACGTTGCCGTTCGGTGACCGGGAAGAAAAGATCCACAATTCGGTGGGGCAAAGATCGGTGCAAAATGGTGAAAAGGAGGTCACAGGGTCTCCTGGTGAAAAAGGGTTTCCAAGAGGTCCAGGTAAAGACGAGGCGCTTATATACTGTAAGTCAGATGATATTTGCCACCGTTGTGCGAAAGTCTCCGTGTCCAAAGTGCTGGCACGTTGACTGATCAGCGCTAGACTCTCGAATCACTCATCTTAGCAGAAAGGTGCAACTGATGGCAAAAGGACACGCCCTACCCATCCCCACTTTCTACATTTTTCTACTTGCCTCACTGTTTGGACTTCAAGAATGCAGGACACTCACAAACCAGTGCCACATCCGCGTTGTAAAGGCCCGCTAAACGGCTGGCCTCAGCAAAAGGAACTCTAGGGAGCCTCAGCTGAACTGCTCAACGCTTCTTTGGACCACGGAAGATTAAACCTTGAGGACCAGGAGCACGTCCCTTAGAGAGCGTTGGTGGCCATGGCCTTCCCCTCTCACTTCACTGTGGTGGATCTGGCGCCGGCGGCGCTGACCACATTGCCCGCTTGGGCCCGGGAGATGATGGAACTCATGCCGAGCCGGGATGAGGTGGGGGCAGACAGGTTTTAGGGCTCCGGTTGTTTGAGGCTCTTGCTTGACAATCAGACGGTTTTTTTCTTTCACCATGCGTTTCAGTTCCAGATGTGACTTGTGACTTGTGACTCAACTATATATATATATATAGCTTGCTGGATCAGCAAAGTGCCCGGAGCGAGTTTCATGTTGGTGCAACCTCACCTTCACATACCATCAACATTTGACAGGCCACTTTTCTCCTCGCCATTGCGACATACAGTATGTCATAAAACCACAAGACGCTGTGGATACGTTCTGAATCACCTTCACGAGAACCCCTTTGGCCCTATGGCACCAGGGGTATTTCTAACACTCTATGGCACCCTGTGGCAGCCCCTGTTGAATACATTCCTTTGAGGGTTTCTATTGACCCCCTCCCGATCCTGCAGCACCCCCCGCCAAACGCTTCGACAGTCACAACGCCCAGGTCATGGGCTTTCTGCATTGTCGCTCTGCAGAGGTTCTGGTCCTTTCGATCTTCCTTTTGGCTGCCTGGAGAATGATCTGGGGATGATGGATCAGTCATGTTCATTTTTGCGATTCGCATAGGTACCCTTTGGCGTTGGTTTTGGGGATTAAGGTTTTAGAAGCAAACACCTGGGAAGATTGGACAGATCCCTTGTCTTCGAGTCGTTCGGTTGTGCGGAGCATGGCGGGCCCATGGAGCCCTAAGTGGGTAACTAGATGGAGCTTGGTTTGTGCGAGACTTGGACTCTTGGATTTGTGTGAATGGACCGTTTGTGGATTTGTAAATTTGTGTGTTGTTGTTGTCATTGTTATCGCTTGTGCTTGCTTGCATGCCACAGGTTTCCCATGTGCCTTGCCAAGGTGTATCCGTGTCCAAAGGACTTTCTGACGAGCGTCCAGCTCATACTGTGCTTGGTGCTGCTGGCTGTGCCAAAGCGCTTGGCCAAATACACCAGCAAATTCTTCACAGCCAGTGCCGGTTGCATGACCGCATGACCCAAAACTATGTCAGGCCATCATATAATGTCATGCAATTTCTGATTTTGATGTTGGATGCCGCATGCCCTCAGTAGCAGTACAACATGATGCGGATGTGTGTGTGTGTGTCATTACATCCATATACCTCACCATATGTCTACACATGGATAAGTCCAGTCCTCGTCAACTGAGGTGTGGCCCTGATGGGGCAAGTGCTGGGCTTCACGGTGCTTCGCTTCAATAAGGCCTGGTTCGGGGTGCTTTTCCACCAAGTCTGCGAGTGCGGCCACCGCAGTGGCCTGCTGCGGCCACTGCAGCGTGCGTGGTGCATCCCATTATTGCTGGTGAAGTGCTCACTGGAGCTTTGAGACATGGCCTTCCTACACCATGACCCTTTGGAAGGTCATGTTGGTCAGGGTATTATACTCTCCTAGCAGGGGCGTGCTGAGTGCCTTAGATAGATGACCCTGTCTTTTTTGGCTGAAGAGGGAACTGGCCGATCCAAGAAAAGTTGCGATTATTTCCTACGGCCCTATGGCGAACGAAAGTCACTTCTCAGTTTCTACAGAACCGCTGCCCAGTACTCATGCTCAGCTCCTTCGCAAGGAGCTAATGAGATACTTTGGCATGGCTCCCAATGTGGCGCTTGTGGCCTGCCTGAATGTAGGAGATGCATTCTCAATGACTCAATGGGGGGGTCATCCACGAAGATGAACCGCTTGAACAGGATTCGCCACGAGCCACCCGCTTGATGCGAGCAGAGGGTGAGAGGTTCAGATGGGTTTTACACACTGCAGCCTCCAAGGTGTGTCGACAGCTCTTGATCCTCATCTTCGCAAAGCAGCTCGCCGCGACCAAATGGAGAATGGACGACGCAGAGTTTTGCTTCAGAAACATGGTCAGGTGAGCTGGGCATGCGCCGCCCATGACTGGGCTTGGGGCGGCTTGGGGCCCAGCTGTCTTCTTTGGAGTCGCCCGAGGTTAGAAGAGATGGTGGAGGCTCCGGCGCCAGTTCCTGCGCCCATGGAGCAGGAGATGGTCGTCCTAGGAGGCAGACATGTGACATCCGTGAAGACGAGCATTAAGAGAAATTATATATATATATATATATAAAATGATGTAATATCATTCCATGGAGTTTTTTTTTTGGGATTCCAACGCTATAGCATGTATAATTGATCTAGTTGTTGTTCTTTTGAAAGCAGTAAGCTCTATGTCCAGGTTCCCAGAGATCAGGAAGCTTGGCATCAACATGCAACCACCAAAGGTGGTCGTGTTTTGTCCGCGGGGGTGTCAATGTCAATTCCTTCAACACCCCCGCTGGAAGAGAGAATCCTGGCACAAGTAGTTGCTGGAATGAATGCTTATTTTTTTCATTTTGGTGTGTTCGAGCTTGTATATACAGTTTTCTTCAAAGGTGTGTTAGATCCAGTTCAGGCAATGCACGTCAATCATTCCAATCTACAATTATAACATATTATAACAGTAGATCACAGTTGTAGAATGTTGTAGATTATGTTCCAGTAGAGACCTGACGAGCTTGCTGTTTGTCAGCTGGGTTGAATATTCAGGTAGCGAGATGCCAGCAGCATGGCGGATAGCACTCAGGAGTGGGAGCCGATGTTTTTGTCATTCAATCATGAACCGAGATGAAACTTACCCGAGCCCCCATATCAGAATTCATGTGCCCCTACAAGGTTGGCATGGTATGTATATACTTCCCCTGTAGCTTCTTGCTCCGTTCGTAGCGATGCTCGTGTTACTAGTAGCGATGCCAGGAGCTACTCCGCGCTTTCGGCCGCGGTCCGAGTCTCCGCGACGGGTCCCGCAGGTCCGACCCCGTGACGGAGGTGCGGCGGCTTCTGTTGGCGGTGCCGCAGATGGCGGCGGTGTGCATCGTGGCGATCAACGCCGTGGAAGAGACCGCGTGGTGTCACTGGGCACAGATAGGGCAGAGGTGAAGCTTCAACTAAGTGAAGCGGTGTGAAGTTGTGACGAGGGCCGAGGTCTCAAAGACTAGAGACCGAGAGGAGGCCCTCCTCACAGCGTTCGGCGTTCCATCATGTTCCACCGATGCAACTCTCTGCGTTTTGCATGTTTGTGTTGCAACACAGTGACCGGGAGCACACATGCCACCCCCAATGGGAGCAAGGAGCGCTCCGGTTGTCGAACGGCCCAGGCCTCCCACCCTTGGCTGTGGTGGGCGCCTTCTATGCCAGCGGCGCTATGGTGAAGCCTCCCCTGGAGACGGGCAAGCGGATCCCAGATCAGGCAAGATTCTGGATCCAGGCCGGTGGAGCAATGGAAACAAAGTAAAATACCAATGACATCTCTATGAATCTATGAGCTTTGAGGTGAACAAGTGAAGGATGTTGGGTGAATCTTTCTCTTGCGGAGTTTTGGTGCCCGCAGTTTGTACCATAACAGCATGTCTTTCCTCCATTTCAAGAATATGTCCCCATGTGTCCTACTGTTTGTTGTTCTATTGCTTGTCGAAAAGATGCCACTCTGACCGTTGCTGCGTGCTCCATGGCGCAAGTGGGGGACGAACTTCAAGAGTTTTGCTTTCTTTTCACCTGGCTCGGAGCAAGAAGCTACTAGGGGCTCCTGGCATCGCTACTAGGGGCGAGGACGCTACTAGGGGCTCCTGGCCTTACTGCTAGGAGCAAGAAGCTACTAGTAACAAAGGGCATTTCTGCTAACAAGGACGCTACTGGGGTGGAGCTCCAGTCAAGTGTGTTACAGAGGCGAACAGTGCTTTCATAAACATCAGACGCAGTGATCGGCCCCCAGTTATGATCGCGTCGTAAACTGGACGAGACGCTGTAAGTGGCCTCTGCCATACTCTGTAGGTGATGGCCTTCAGCTTGGCTGTGGGGATGCTGGGCGAGATTTGCACGGCCCTGTGGTGGCCACCCTGGGAAGGAGCCTGGTTTGCAGATGAAACACTTCATTGATCTTCATTTCGACTTTGTTGCTTGATTGATCTTCGGTTTCTTGATGTTCCTCTTTTCTTGTTTTGCTTGCGGAGGTGTTCCTGGCAAGCCTCAACCAGCAGCCATTGGCCTCTGGGATATGTGCAGAAACTATGACCCCTGGAGCCCAGGTCTTGCACGGAGCGTTGATGGAAGGGCTCAATTTCCTGGAATGCATGCGAAGGCGGTCTTGGGTTGGATTGCAGATTGTCCAAAAGACTGCCCCAAGGACTAATGCTTGAACATACTGAATGTATCTGAATGCTTGCCCATTGCAGGCAGGCTGGGTGCCACAACGCCAGCGCTGTGGCCAGGATGTAGTCTATTGGCTTTGCCTCGAGAGTGGCATTCGGGCAACTGGTCAGCATTGGCTGTTGCAACAGGTGCTGCGAAAACCTGCTAGGAGTGGAGATGCATGCCTCTAGAACCTTCCCGGATAGTTATATGGTGGGATATGTATCCAGAGGTTCCGCATGGATTTCACCATCCCGTCATCCACATGTTGTTCTTCTTTGAGTGCCGAAGTTCGCCCATCATCGAGGTGCCGAAGTTCGCCCTCTTCTTCGTCCTCTGCTGGATTCTGCGCACAGACTGGGAGAGACGCCCCGACCGTGGCCGCGCCGCGGAACCGCGCAGCCGCTGGTTCCGCCGGACCATGGCCTCAGTGTCCACGCGCTTCTTTGAGTCGTTGGCCCCAAGAAGGACGGAGTGGTCTCTGTTGGCCCCCAGAGGGCCCTATAGTTTGAGGGAACTTCAGGATGTTATATGCCAATGTTTCCCTGCAGTCCCCAAATTGCGAAGAGTGGCGACTTCAGGACTTCAGGTTTTACTACTTTACTCCTACCACACGAGGATGGTTTCATAAAGATACTGATGCTCTTCATTTTGTGCAGGTGGTGGTCCCCAATGTTGTCCATCCGCCGCCAAGTATGTCCCTTCCTTAAGGAGCACGACCGTGGCGGAACGAGAGTCGGAGCTGAAGTTGTTCATCATCACTCTGGCAGGGATTTTTTGCTGGATCTTTGTGATTGTTGCTTGCGGGCTGCAGAGGCAGTTTAACCTCGTAGCACTGGGGTTCCTTGGTAATGAAAATGCGATATATTCTTCCTTTGGGCACCTTGTAGCGGTTTGGGGTACCAGCTATCCTTGCAAGTATTGCTTCTGAAGAGTTGCTTCCATTTGAGGTACCTTTGGATGGCCCTGGCCACTAGCAGCTCAGTCACCAACGCCACTCTCTACCATGACCCGGTGCGTGCCGTTCTGTGGCCCGCCCGGGCGGTGGGCATCTTCAACTTCCTGGTCATCATGGCCTTCTCGGTGCCTCGAAGGGTAACCATCCTGGACCGGTCCCATGCGATGTGAAGCTCTGGTAGAGAACTAGGCCGTTCCAGCTGGGCTGGGCGAGGTCGCCAGGCGAGCTTTGTGGGGTGGACATGAACATGCAGGCGCACCACAGTTGACGGTCGTACGTGATCTTTGTGAGGCACCTCCCTCCTTCTGAGCATGCTAGTTGCTAGCTGGTATATGGCATATGGTATGCTGGTATATGATCTGTGTTGCATGGCAATTGCAATGTTTGTTCCACTTGCTGTTGTGGCACGCTCTCACCCTTTTGACCCCTTGAGTACTGGTGAAAGAATAGATGTAGCGAGTAGCAATGCTCGACTGCAATGTTTCTGCAGTCGATGGATTGGCCCTTGACTCAGGTCTGCCAATGCCCATCCTTTCCATGCCCCTATGCTGCGAAGCTTGAAGGCGAGGCCGATCTTGGATGATTTGGGTGGAAAGACATGTCATGTCACCAACTTGAAGTCCATGCCCAAGAGTGCAGTTCCAATGTTCCAATAATATGTTCCGTCAGAATCATGTGTATCATGATTCAGTGTCTTGATGTCTCAGGTGCTAGTCACACTGCATGTCCCAGAGCCGGTGCGGGGCCCCGCCAGGTCTGGGCGGGCCAGACCACATCAGCCGCTTCTTGAGTGGGGAGCAGTGTCTCTACGCCTCGCGCCACGCGGTGAGTGGCGAAGCGAGCGATGCCTGGGCCCTGGGACCCCTCTTTCAAAGCATCTCGGTCTGAGAGTCGCTCCGGATTGAGGGGGAGAGTCTTCCACTCCCCATGGGCGGCTTTGATGATCTATCAATCGCTTGGAAAGGCAACTGTGGGGACCCAGTGGGATCCAACGGTCTGTGTGTAGCCTGTGGATCGGTGGGTCTTGCGGTCAAATGCCTGTGGCGGTCTCCCGACAAGAGCCTTGGGCCGTGTGCCACTGAGGTGTTGGCATGATCAAGACGGGAGGGGCCTTGTCAGGCACTTTGGAGGAGCCTTGCACGCAGTGACTGATGCCTGACCCCTCAGACCGGCCCCACTCGATCAGGCAGATCTAAGAGATAGTTTTGATGTTTTGAGACCGTTCCTTTTTGCTCGGGATCACTTTCAAGGGGAGTGGTCACTCTTCCGGGGCGAGCCCAGGTTATTTTGTGGGTTGGAGGAGTTCACGATTGTGACCAAGGTTGCTGTAGATCCTTCAAGTCCGGTTGTGGTGCGTGGAGTGTTGGGTGCTAGAATTGGGGTTGAGAAAGCACCTGCAGCTTTGCCCAATCTTCTATTGGTCATTTATATAACAGTGCTTTCAGACCAAACCGTCTATATCCACCACACAGGGCAAGTTTTGTTGACATCAACGTGTACATCATAGCGGCTAGGCAACCGCGCGGTGCTTCCATCCACATGAAACTTCCGGGCAGGAGTTGGTCCATTGCTTGGTCTTTGTGAGCTGCTTAGTGCAGCGAATCCTGGTGGAGAGATGGAACGAAGATCTCAGAGAACACTTCAAGCGCCGCAAGGCACGGCAGTGGTTTCGGTGTCAGCAGTGGTCGGTTCGATTTCACTGGGTATCGGTCGGGGATGAGTATAAGCACCCTCCAATCCACTGTTTAAGCTCAGCGAATTGTACGACTCCATGACTGTTTATCAATGTTTTATTTCCAGTTTCTTCTTGGTGTGCACTACTGTAGAGATATTGACAGATGCACAAGGATACATTAAATGGACTTCGCCTGACCATTGGGATGAAGAAGATATGCTTTTGGCCATCCATGTCTCCAGATCACCAGCACATCTTGCTTCACCCGAAGATCTGCGGCTTCCAGCCCAGGCCTTGCTGGACTTCCGCGCCGAGTGGTATGCCGAAAAACTGGCCACCAGCAGGCAGGTACAACTCTCGATGTGGGACACGAAGCGTCAGGCGGGCAGATGGGTGTTCAGTGACTTCAAGAACTCCAAAAATGGGATATGAACAGTCACTAGCCAAACACCTTTTTCAGTATGTCATGGAATGGTACGTCTTAACGATCTGACCTTCTGCCAGGGGTGTCGTTCCAGCAATTCGAACACCAACTGATTGCTGATTCGATGATGCCTGGTCGCTGGAGAGGTATTGCTCAACAAACTTGGGCGGGTCACCAAGCAGTTGAATACTTTGCGCTCCATTTGGGACGGCCAACGCCCTGCCTTTACTGAAGAGGAGGCCTGAAATTCTTGTAGAACCGTAGAAGCTTTCTTCTCTCCATGTTCTTTCACCAGCGGCAGCAGTTGGGAAGTTCACATAGACGCGGGATTGTTGTAGATTGTTCCAGTGCTCAGGATTTCACGTTTTTATTTCATGCTATTTACATCTATTTACTGTATTATTTGTTTTGCTTCTGGCCCTTTTTCCGGTGAATTGGCCAGGAGGAGGAGAACCTCCAGAAAGCACGTGTGGAGCACATTTGTTTGCAGGGTGGCGTCAATGAGCTTTTGGTCACTGCCTGAGTCTCTGGCGTCGAGACTGAGCGAACCACTTGTTGATGCAACAAACCGCCCTGCTGCACGCATACAGATACTTATGATACACGATAGATGAATACACGAAAATATAACATATGAAATATGAACACATTAAATATCTACTGTATATCTATATTTGTTTATTTTCTCTCTCTCTCTCTATATATATGTGTGTGTGTGAGTGTCATGTTTATGATATAGGCACATAGATTAATATACATATGAATACAGATGATACATATTAATCACAATTATTTACACTTCTGTAACCGCAGAGCTGCCACCTACTGCAATTGAGCCTTTCACGCCTTGGCAGTGTGCGGGACCACGGCAATCTCAAGGTCTCTGGGCTTCTCAAAGAGTTCACGAAGAACTACGCAGACCAATTGCTCAACCTGCCTAGCCAGCAAAGGCGAGGGAGTTGGCTCCAAAACCAAAGTCACGCCCGCCTGGGGGTAGAGGAGCTGAGGGAGACTAGAATGAAGTCGGGCCCAAGCCTACATGTGGTGTTGCAGGTTGCAGGCACAAGCGATCATCGACAAGGGTGTGGTCGATTACTTGCACAGAAGGCGCAGCTTGGGGTCTGCTGCTATTTGATTTCATGAATGCAATCATGTGTGCCAAAGCAAGTCAAGTCCGCGACTTCGGCTTCTGCCGCCATCAATGCTCAGTGAGCTTCGACTGCCCTCGACCCTCATCGAAGGTATCTGAGAAAGCTGAAGATGATTACATCTGCAGATGAAGCAGCTTCAAAGAAGCACCTGATCCAGGAATGCCAGAATGAGGTGGAAGGCATTTGGAAGGACGTCAAAGGTGAAGCCACTCGGATCCAAAGAGTTGGGCTCAAGCTGTTTCGTTGCTCCAGTCGTTGGGCACTGCGCCGGCTGCGCCCAGGAGAATGACGCTGTGGAGCTGGAAGAAGCTCCGGTGGAGCCTAGCAGCTCTTTCAGATCCAGGAAGAGCGAAGAAACCTCTCAGCCAGGAACTCAGACGTTGAAACGGATCAGCAAAACCACGGGTTGGTAAGGTATGAGTGTTTGGGTGTTATAAGATGGTTGAAGAGTACAGATGTCTATAGAGTCTATATTCTAGAAGTCTCGAAGGCTGCTTGCAGCTTTGGTGCTGGGCCATCGTCCTGAGACTCGCTATCGGGCCGTCTTCGCCAGCAGTCACTCGTGAAGGCTAGCTAGCTTTGAAGAGAATCGGTTTTCTCGACCGAGCATCGGCAGGTTCCCTCCAACCTACTAGCGATGGCCTCCAGCCTAAGACCTAAGAGCAGTGGCCTCCAACCTCAGATCGGCGATGGCCTCCAGCCATGCCCTGAGACATCCATGAGCCCCCCGTAGTTGTGAGGGCACAGACGGTGAGGGCATCCTTTTCATCAGAGGCTGGGTGCAAACACGAGATCGACTGGTGAGTCCTCCTGCATTTCCTGGGCAACAAAGAAACCAGGGCGGAGGTTTATGTTCCAGCCTGGTTGTTGTGTTGTTATTGTCAGTTTTGGCTTGAATTTTCTTGAGCTCCTTTGCAGCTGCTTGGATCTCAGTACTTCTCTCCCCAATCGCGATGTTCAAAGACCAGTTGCTTGGGGGCATGTTTTCTTTGCATTCTCCCTCCTCATCATGGATTTGCTTCAACGTGAGGGAGCAACCAACAAAGACTTCTGGTGAACATGAGTCATTGGCGCATTGGCTAAATTTGACCTACTGGCCTAGTCTATATAATTGGCTGGTTTTGCAACCCAGTTCTCCTTTTGACCGTGCAAATGCTATCAGCACCAGCGGCGACCGCTCCAGGCGGCGGTCGATGAGCCCAAGCCCCTGATGGGCATGTGGTGGGTGGAGCTTTGTGGGACCTTTGTGGATGAATCCTGGCTGCACGGCTGTGGTCACCTTGTTTGGGCAGCGGTTTGGCCATGGGGTGGCATGGCCAGTTCTTTTGCAGGGTGGCATGGCCACCGGGTTAGCGGGTTAGCCTGCTGGGAAAGGATTTCGGTGAATTGGGAGATTCATACACTGCCCACAGTTCCAATTGGGCAGGGTTCGGTCAGCATGGCATGCATGGATGAGAAGCCGCTCCCTTGTCACGCATGAGGATATGCTCTTCATCCGGGACCGCTGGTTGGGGCTGTTGCAGCGAGATGGTCGAAGACTCTTGCGGTCATTGGTTTCTCCTTCGTATCCAGACTGTTGTTGCAATGGTTATGTAGACAAGACAGTAGACAAGCGGTAGCTACATGTAGCTACCAGTATTTGTGAGATTCTGTGAGTCAAGCAGAAAGGGGCCTCGTTCCTGAGCGTGGCAGGAGAAGGATGAGACCTTGTATGAGCACCGCAAGGGAAATTCCCCAAGACTCTTGCTTTGCAAAGCCTTGCTGAGCCAATCTGTGCTGGCATTAGTTGTCGCAGGCGCGTCCTGTGATGATTCCCGGCACCGATCACGCAACTGTTTCATGTTGGGGGTTTTGTTTCGCACCATCTCCGGTCACAATGCCACCGCGCGCCACACATCGTCTTCGACCCCACAGACCGCATCACCGGCAGGTGCCCTGCAGTTCATGTCTCTCCGATCCTTGACTTCGGCCATCAGCATCTCCGTGGTTGTCATGGCCTTGATGGCCTTCCCGCACGTCCCCTGGACGGCGCGAGCGGGACAAGACTGGGGCAGTGAGCCGCAGATTGGAACATTGTAATTGAGAATCCAGGGGCTATCATTAACTGTATATAATATGTAGATGTAGATATATTCCCATATATTCCCTACCCAAAGCCCCTCCGAACAATGCCGTTTGTAGGGAAAGGGCTATTGTCAATCATTGTGCTTTGCAGGTTGCTGTTTTTTGTGCAAAATGTTTGCTTTTTCACTCGTCTGGCTGAAAAGTTGTCATTTCATGAACTTTGATTGCTTCGAGATGGAACCGTGGCAGGTGTGGGTTGCCCTGCAGTGGTTGAACTTGGCTGCTGCTTGGATGAGCGTCGTTCGCTTTGATTCTCCAGCCCGTTGGAGTGGTCGGTGCCGAGGTCATCTTCGCGAAGGTGGCCTTCCAGCTCCTGAGCTCAACAAAATGCCGGCTTGGCTGTACTGGGTGGATAAAATCCATGGGGTCTTTATCGGGACGCCAGCCCCCTGAGCTACCTAACAACCGGATATTAGAGGTGAAGGGAAGAGTCGATCATACCAACCCTCACTTTCTCCAACATTCTCCAACCCAAAGCTTTTGCATCCAGGCTGCCAATCTTCTGCGAGGACGGGCATCTACAGTACCTCCCCTGCCAGAGCTTATGCGACGAAGAGATGCCCTTCACTGCTCTCTTGGGCTTAGCCACTTGGCCATGACCGCTGCCCTCGGCTTCTCCCTTGTTGCTCTGCCAGACGCCTCTGAAGGAGGATCGGCCGATGTCATGAGAGTTCACTGAAAAACATGGCTCGTGGAAACCCAGAATCCTATAGATCGACCACGGAGACTTTTTTCGACCGCAGTGCAAAGCAGATCAATCCGTTTTGACCTGTACGACTCAAAGCCACGACTCAGGCTTTGATCGTTACCTCTTTATATAATTGGGTCACGCGAGGAGCCGTACTGCTCCCCAAGATAGTCTCAAGAAAGATGCTCACAAGGCGTCAAGAAAGCAAGTTCCCATCTTTCTGAACTCCCGGGGGGCCCTGGACTTTGACTTTCCAATCACTGTTACTAACTGCCCAGTCCCCCAGGTGAAGACCCAAGAGAATGCCAGCGACCCTTGCTCTTTGGCACGCCCTACGCTGGGCGAGATTCTTTGGGCAGACGTGGTCTTCGCAGTGGTCTTGCTGCTGGCGTCTGGTCCAAAAATGGACGAGCAGAAGGTTTGCGTGTGCCATTTGCTCAATTTGTGGATATGTTTGTTTGAATCCTCTCGATTTGTTCAGTCGTCTTTATGCATTCCTTACCCGCTATCATGAGGATCAAGGTGCAAATTCCCATCAAGTGATTCGACTTCACGATCAACGGGACCAACGATTGCATTGCAAATGCCGATGATCTACCATATAGCATATGTATACACATGTTAATGGAACGAATGGAACACATTATGCATGTAGCCGAACAATAGGAATGGGCCCCTGAAACTTTCCTTCATTTGTCGTTGCACATGCAGACAGAACCGGTGCAACTTCCGAAAAGCGAGGACCATCAAAAGGAACTGATCTTTTCATCACCGAGTGGCCACTTTGCTTGGGGGTTCGCAACAGGTCCAGGTCAAAACAACCTGCTCGAACTGTTCGATCATCGCTCCAAGGTGATGTGCGCCGCACGACTGGGTGGTCGCTTCGGAAGTACGGCCCAGATCTTGAACAGTTTGAAGGTTCTTGAGAAGAAGAACAGGAGGCAGAGTGGTTTTGAAGAAGTCTTGAGTGTTTTGAGGAGGTAGCTTCAGTAAGTCAAACGACCGAAAAAGCTTCCCATGTGTGTGAGGCATCCTTTTCAGGCCACCGGTGTGTACGGGGTATCTCTTTGGTTTGGGGATTCGGGGAACGTTTGTTGAGAGCCGGAGCTCTTCAGGATGAGTACCTATCTCAACCGCGAAATGCTGAAAGCAGCCCTTGGCAAAGAAGCAGACAGGGAAGCAGCCTCCGACTCCGACAGCGACAAGGAGGAGGAGGACCAAGAAGCTCCCCCCACAGGCGACACAGAGCTTCCACTGGGCTTTGGCATCGAGGTGAAGAATTGGATGGACACCATTCTCCGTAATTATGTCTGGAGAGTTTCTTTGTAAAGGGCATTTTGGGGTTCCCTTGTTTGGGGGCAGGCAGTCGCATCAATGTTGCAGGTTCTCAGCCGGTTCCGCAAGAAGAGCCAGCCAGGGTAGTTGGGGCCTCAGTGAACTTCAGCCTGCCAATTAGAGAACACAATCCTCCTCTACAAAAGAGGCCTGGTCAGCTGTGATGGTTGCCTGTGAGGGAGGGCGACGATACCAGAACCAGCTTCTGGTGGTGATGTTTCCTATAGACAACTGACACGCGTCGACGCGTTCCTTTTTTTTTCAGTCAGGACCGGCGCCGCAGGGCCAGGGCGCGGTCAGAAGCACAGAAGTGGTTGGAGAGGGGTCGGCGGTGGCTGCCGCTGAGATGCACTGGAGCAAGTGAGAGCTGGACTTGCAATTTGCATTAGTCTCAGACACTGAAATAGATACTTTAGTATTTGGATGTCTCATTCGCATGGACTGTGTCTCCCCTATTTAGTTCATATGTATTGGACTTCCTCTCCTGCTGAAGCACCTTCCACACGCAGGAAAGAGTATGTCGTCCTCCCCGCCTATGTCCGGAAGCCGGCCATGGACCTCTATGAGATCCGGCTTTGCATCGCCTTGATTTGCCCATGGGACCAATGAGAGGGTAGAAATCCTGGACATGTTGATGACTTCAACTCTTGTTGAGGATTCAAGTTTCCAAGAAAGCGTCTTCAGGGTTTTCCATTTGTGTCACCCCATGACACATGACCGGCTAGTCCAGATGCTGGTGGTCCTGGACTCCAGGTCTTGCCATCTTGGTCTTTGGCTGGAGCACCATGGTGGACAGCGGCCGGAGCTTCTCCAAGGCTTTGAAGACCAACAACTTCAGCACCAATCAGGTGCGAGTCCTGGCCGCTCGGCATGGGGTGTACCTTAAATGGGCATGCTATACTCATACCCTGGAGCATCACTCGGCACCTCCCATCACTCGGCACTGGCTACCCCAAAAACCGAGCTGGCTGAACCACTGGCTGAAAGCCCTTAGTTTTTGTTGAAGGGGAACATGACCTGGTGGCTTCTGGATGTGAGGTGCTTTTCATGCTTATGATTGTGATGGACCGAGCCTTGTACACCTGGTACCGTGGAGACCATGCGGGCCATGCGGATGATGGACAACCTTCCAAGACCACATACACCTGGAAGGCCTGATGGGCAGAGAATGCGAGGGCGTGGCCTGAAGCTTTGTTGAAGCAGTGGTTCAATCGCTGGCACCATGGTCGGTCTATGAATTTAGTAGTCGCTGGCAGAATTTGTTTAGTTGTCGCTGGCACCATGCTGGGTCAGCAGTGGTTGAAAGCATGGTCGGTCTACACATGTCTACACTAAACAAATTCTGCTTTCAATCTGGGTTGTTGCAATCGGCTTGGGAATCCGTCTATGGCTGCTCAGGGCCTGATGGCGCGAGTGGTTCAGAAGATCCTCGTGCTGGTGCATGTGGTTTCCATCCATGCACTTTTCATCCAACAATGGAGCCGGAAGCTGGTCCCAAAGAGGAAAGTGCACCTCGGCGCGGCCGTTCCAGGCAGTCAGATCGTTCCTGGGTGATCCTGGGTGCACCACCTTGCGATTCAAGGTCCAGGTGGTCATAGATCGAAGAGTTCTGACTTAGGCAACTGACTCTTTGGCGTGAGGTTGCACGGAAGCCATGAGAGGGTGAGGGTTTTGGATTCAGGGAAATACTGCATGGATCAGCAGAATGTCCCTCAAGAGGTGCATGAACTTCTGCTGTTAGAACTTGGTAGCAGCCCATCATGAATCATGAAGCATTATGTGGTGCTGGTGGAACTGCTGCAGCTACCAGCTGCAGCTTGATGGCTGCATCGGCCTGAAAACAAGAGAGTGCCTCAAGGTACCGTTCCAGTGGGTGCTCCCCACGGCCCCGCCTGAGGGAGGGGTTCGATGTACGTTTCTCGATCTGTAGCGATGTTCGTTTTTGGAGTGTCTATGACCTGTGAACCAGGTGGTTCACAGTTGTTGCGTTCGGCCATGGGTCGAACACTTCGTGAAGGTGAGCGGCAGGGTACTTTGATTTCTCTCAAACTGAGGCAATCGGAGGTGTCATTGATATCCTTTTCGACCCTCTCGCTCTTCTACATCCTCTACCTCACATACCTGGCCTTGAGCTCTTTGCAGCTCAAGTATGATGTCCACGTCATGAGGGGAGGCCTACGCTTCTGCCACAGCACCGACATTGGCAGGATGCTGATTTTCAAGGTGCTGCTGGGCAAAATTGCTTTCCTTGGCTCACTGGTTAGCCGGTTTTCGTCCCCTCATGCAATCCATCCTCAGCTTTTGGGTCATATCGGGAGGACACTGTGACCAGGTCTACAGCGCCATACCCTTCCTGAACGAGCTGCGGGTGATTACTGACTGGACGGTCACCGAGACATGCATGAACTTGTTTATGTGGATGAAGCTGGAAGATGCACACCATAGCCTCTATCGGACACGCCTGGACATGGAAGGCCGCTTAGACTAAGTGAAAGCAGGTACTTTTTGTGTTTGGCTTCGAAACGTTGAGTAGCCAGGCAGAGCTATGACAGACCCAGCGTCAGCCAGGCCCTTGTATCCTGGCTTGATCTTGCCGTGTGTATTCCTCATCAGACCAAGCAGCAGCGTCAAGAAAGCCTTGCCGCATTAAGGTTCGAAAAGTTCTACATGGGTGTGGCACTGCTGGTTCTCTTAATGGCCTTGCTTGTTGGACCTATCATTTTCTTTTCCGCCTTGAACACCTTCATGCTGCTCGCATGCGCTTGTTCCGAAGCGAGTCCCAGCTGCCACACCGCCAGCATGGACTTGGAAGTGGCCCTGGAAGGGATCGACCTCTCTTAAATGCATGCTTTTCTCGGTCTCCTGAGGATCTTACTGGTGTTTGGCATGCTTTGAAGATGTTTCACAGACCTACCGACCCTCTTTTGCCTGCAAAGATCATAAGCTGCGGCTACTGGGTAGGTGCAGGAAAGTTCGCTTTTGTCGACATACTTGCTTTCCAGAAGAGAGCCAGGGTTCCAGGGCGTCAAGCTGCAAAGGTTCAGATTCGATGTTCAGCTTGGATCGCGTTGGTTGCTATCCTCAGGCTCACGCCAGGTGTGGTGACCACGGCCAGTATGTCGGTGGATTTGCGCGTCGAGGCAAACTATGGACATCGGACTTTGAACCTCTACACCGCCTACCAGGACTTGTCACGCTTGGTGTGGGTTTGAAGCCACTTCAAGCCAAGGATTTGCAAGAGATCCACACCACACCCTCAAAAACTTGATAGGACTAGCTCGGAGTTTTTCGGAGGTTTAGTTTTGACCTACGGTCAGCGTACAGGTTCCACAAGTTGAGGCATTTCGCGGTTTGGAATTCATGGGGGGCACCCACAGAGTGAAGTCAATGGATAGCTGGCGGGCACCAGAGCGAAGTCACTGCCAGGAGTACATCAAAACCTCAGATGAAGCTGCTGCACAGAGGTTCCAGAAAAGATTAGTGGAGCATGAGATCCTTGATTTTTCACTTGCTGTTCTTGGTTCTGGGAGTCTGGGAAACCTTCTCGAAGTCAGAGTCTACGTGCTAGTAGATGTATACACATACATGATGCACCTACATACACTATGCACTATGCAGCATACAATATGATTTGCTATTAGCTGATATATAATTGTTGGGAAGAATAGACCTCTTGCTCCACACCGCCCTTGTGAGGGGAATCGCCATGCCATCCGAGGATTCCCATCTCTTTGCAATACATCCGATTTCCCCTGGCGTCCGACGAGTTCTGGGAAAGCTCGACAGCTTTGCAACAGATGATGGCCAAGTTTATCGACCCCGAGAGGCATCCGGAAGTGCCGCCCGAAGGCAAGAGACATGATGTTGGCAATCCAATTTCGTTCAGGGCGAAGCAGTGACAAGCAGAGCATGCAACCATGATCAAACGTTCTAAGGCTTACAAGCTTACCTTTGTCGTGCCCAGGTCAGTGAAGTTCAGACTCAGCCTGCACTTCCAACCCAATGCAAGCTTGCCGGTGGAGACCTTTCAGGAAGTGGGGCACAAAGACTGGCGTGCCGACCACCGGCCCGGAATGTCTTCATAGTTAGGGCTGTATGCTGTGTGTTGCACAGTGGCAGCTTGAAGGACACCGGAGTCAAGTAGTCCAAAGGCTGTGTTTTTGGTCAGAAGCCGGCAGAAGGTCTAGTTGATCCCAGCCCACAAATACTTCCCAGCTTGCCACTCCCATCGATGTGCGAGCGCCGCGCTCGCCAGAGGAGGTGGCCGTTGGCAACGACACGCGAAAGATCTTGTACTCCATGTTCAGTCATCCTGAAGCTTGGAGGGGTGGGCCAGTGACAGTTTGGGAGTGCGCGATGGCTGACAAGATGTGGGATTCCCTGGCGATGCACATGCATGAAAAGCGACCCTGTTTATGAGGAGACAGGTTTTTCAGGGGGGCCAGGGGGCTTGTAATAGCTAGTAATTTTGCATTGCCTTGATGTCGTAGCAATTCGGCAGCTAGCAGGTTTCTCCAGCAGTGCTACTATATGTACTGGCATATGGAGGAATCGGGTGCCAAATCAGACCAGCCAACTCAGGATAGGAATTCAAAATCAACCAGAATTTGATACAATGAATTATTTGAATGGATATTTTTTAGAACAACATATAAAGGTTGTTTGGTTCCATGATCCCCTCGCTTTGGTCCTGCCCTGGTCACTTCGTCCGCTTGCTTGTGATCCCTTGGTCTAAGTAGGTCGCTCCTACCTTGGTGTTCTAGGATGCTTATGGATGCTCGATGGAGCAAGATAGGTGAACATGATTGGGTGCTGACTGCATTTGGCTGCTCTACTTCCGCAGGTGTCAGTTCATCAAGTTTGGTGGATGCTTCTTGGAAACCCTCAGGTTATGCAGACACCCTGACTCGCAGTTTGATGATCAGTGTGCTGGCCATGACAACGAAGGTGCAGGTCCCGACATGTCGGACATGCAAGGATGAGGCCATCAAACCCTGTTGGACCGCTTCAGGACCGGACCGCTTCAGTTCCGAGGCGCCCTTCGGGCCAACCGACGCCCAAAGCGACCGACCGACCTCGAGGGTCAGTGCGACCTTTTGTCACCCTCTTGGGGACCCAAGGGCAAAAGTCAGAGGAAGGATCCATTCCAACCTTAAACCGCCACACGACCACATTAGGACAAACTCATACAAACTTGACAGACCAGTTGGTGGATCTAGAATACGCCTTGGGTCCATGATATCACAAAAAGTTGCTGTATTTGTGATCCATCGGTCCATCCATCTGGTTCTCTGAGGACAATCAAGAAGCGATCTCCTTTGTTGTGCCGGGTCTCTTTCCGAAGCTTGGCTGAGATGTTCGCGATGTTTGGCAAGGCTGTAGATGGTGATCTTAGACGTTCTCCCTAGGGCCTAGGGGTGGGAGCTGTAAACTCTACGACCCACAGTATATATATAATATAACCGAGCCTTTGTTCTCTTGAAAAATAGCAAGGTCATCAACATCAACTGTCAGGGCATTGGCTTGAGTCCATTGAGCTCAGGAATTTCAGGAGAATTGGGAGTGCCAGTGCCATCACCCCGATCGACTTCATAAGGGATCAGGAGGCCATGAGACCATGCGATGGGTGCTTGTTCACTTCATGTGAACTGGTCCTCAGGGTTCACTGACACGGCTTGTGTGGCAAGAGAGCGAGAGAGAGAGAGAGGAAAGGATGCTTATGCCACCGGCCTTCTGTGGCACGCCGAGGGTTGAAGATGTTTGGCTTTGTGTGAACTTAGCACAGAGTGCATTGGAAATGATCATAAAAGAGAAAGGAAAGCAAAGATAAGAAAAGAACAGAAAGGAAAGCAAGAAAGAAAGAACGAAA